CGAGAAAGCAGAAAGATGCACTCTGAAATCGCGATCCCCTATTTTTCCCTCCCTTCGCTTCGCCCTTTTTCCTATACTTGTTTTTCTCGACGGCGAGATGGAAGGCATACCGAAATGTTGTTGCTTGTCTTAATATCATCTGGCATAATGGAATCAAAGAGGACCACGAATTGTTGGCACACGTTTATGATATATGTCATTTGAGTTTTCGGAAAACTAGTTTGACGAACATCGCGAACGCGTGATATCTAAAAATGTAGTCTAGCTATCTCTTTTTTTGGCTGCAGCATTTGGTCGCACTGATGCCTCAAACCGCCTGCCTGCAAAGTAAATTATCTTTTATGCAGCTGGCGGACGGTGATTAATTATTTACTCTGTTTGCGTTCAGTGTCTACGCCGGTCGCGAGATAATCCGGCTCGACTTTTTCGCGAACTTTTCGCAGTTTCGTTCATGGTTCCTGAAAAAATTCCTGAAAAAGCTGGGTACACATAACTGGCTATAATTAATTTTGGATTTCATGATATCAACGGGGCGCTCCAATGTCTCCCCGTCGCTATAATTTTTCTCTCGTTCGTATATCACGTAATGTCGATATTATCTTCTGAGTTTATAGCCACTTTATTATCTTTAAGGAATTGATTTTTGATGAAGAGAAATGTCTCTTTTCTGCCTCTTGTGTGCTTCCACCTTGATGTACCTTTCATCTTCTTTTTTCCACTTCTATTCGTAGATTCTGATTGTATCTTTTTTATGAGACATTGCTCCTTTTGTTCGAACCAATCTGCTAGTAAAGAACAGTTGAAAAATCACAGATAGCTGCGAGGTTCTTCTCGGTAATATTAAATCAAAAGGGAAGAAAAGTGTTTAAAGGACGCTTCACTGTCAATTTATTAGCACTGAAGTGTTAAATCCTAATTCTTTTAATTTTATAAATCTTTCATACATTTTTATATACTATAGAATATATAGTATAGAACAAATCATTGATACTAATTCTAATTAAAATCTTAACTATTTTTATATGCGATAATACTGGAGATGTATTCTGTAAAAAGTAGACAGTACGAATTTCAAAATTGTTAAAGCTTAAATTGAAATGAAAAATTCATCCTTGTCTCATCATGTAAGACAGCGAGCTATTACTTATCACATAAACTACCTTCAAGATAGTCAATCAAAACTTTCAAATTTACTAAGCAAAATGGAATTTTAGAGTAGTACTCGTAATAGCAACCTCGTAAATGTTATAAGAGGTCACATATAACATACTTAATGGGTGCGTCTCATAATAGAAAAATATTATTAGAATCAAACTATTAAAAAAACTATTGAAAATAATTGGGAAAACTATTCGAATGAAAAATGCATACTATTCATTCCAAGTTTTTTTTTCTAATTCAATAATACGTTTCCACAAAGGTTACTTTTCTATTGCTGCTGATGAATGTGAATACATATAAAGCATCTACATATAAAGCAATATCTTTTGTATATTAAGAAAAAAACTGAAATATATATACACACACACACATAATATATAATCTGTTTTGAATACCATCGTTTCCCTTGATAAGTCTATCTTAACTACATATGTTGGCAAACCTACAAGAAAACATGATGTTGCAAGTAGCACTCTTATAAAATTTGTTATTTATCAAGCCGGACTCTTTCAGTTTGTTGAATAATTTATTGACAGATAGCCGATACGCAGCTGCGCGGTTTCGAGGATAGGTTAATAATATAATACACTTTACTTGCGAATTCATATTGGACTAGCGTATAGATCGAGGTAATATTAATCAATGTTCCAAATCTACATAATGAATGAACATGTAGATCGTAATAGAGCAGAAATTTCTTTACATAATACTCATTTTAACAAGATTCTTATATTAATTCTATTACATTAGCTACCTATTACACATAAACAAAAAGAAATAAATTTAATTAATTCTAAAACGCTATCGCTATTGTTATTGATACGTAAATTTTACGTAGAAGGCCTTAATTAATGTAACACAAGATTTTCGTACATTTTACACTTCTAACAAAATACTTATAATTTGGACTTTTATATAAATAATGTAATTATAATAAATAATGTTATTAATTTAAAAGGAAAGAAAAATAAGCATACTATCAAATTTAATTTTTAAATAATATAGAGTGTAGTGTTTAGTGTTTTCTTATAACATTTTAAAATATATAACAATACAAAACAAAATGTCTTATAAGACCGTGATGTAACTACACAACGAATCGAAAATAAAGACTCTAAACGGTCACACTGGATTTTTAATGCTGAAATAATTACGTGCGAATTCATTCTTAAATTGATTGTAATATTCTGATGCATTTAGCTTCATTGCGAAAAATATTACCTCGGCTGCGTTGTGTCGGGGATTGAATCTGGATCTTTTGCATTTTTTTGAGCGTTAGCTCCTAAGTCTTTAGAGTTAAAACTTTAGATCACCAAGGTCTTAATAATATTCTTCGTAATAACTCATATATATGTAAATACGTATTTAAAGGGAAAATACGCTTTTTGAGGGATTGGATATGTAATACATAAATTCACACAGAATTATTTCAGCACTAAAGATCCAGCTTGACCATTTAGGGCCTTTATTTCCGATTCATTGTAATAACACAAAATTGATTAATAATTGAAATTACTCTTATTAACATACTTTCTGTTATAATACTGACCACTAAGTAATTGAAATTGGTATATAACGGACTGAAGATTTAGAAACTTGTCCTAGCTTTTAGCACCGCAAATTGGACTTCTTGATGATCATTAAAGCCATAGTTAGCGCTCAATGTAATCTCATTCACTTGTATGTAAAATTTATGTATAATAGCATTCCACGGCATTAACGAGTCGGCATTTCTTATTCCACCTTAAGAATAATGATCTTTTACGCAGCCAAATTTTTTGCATCGAAGTAAAATCAATTTCAATCATTTTCAGGCATGCAATAATATCATCTTAACACTTTAATAGAAACATATCGTCATTTTTCCTACACGCTACAAATTGTAAACAAAGTTACAATTATTGTTTGTTTAACAAAATTGTAACTGATTTTTAATATTAATTTTTTGGTAATTTAGATAAAATTGACTAAAAATTAGATTTATGTTATTTACACGGTTTACTTAAAAAATTCCGAAACTAATTTTTCCCTGAATGTGCAAGTAACACATTTTTCCGACAACTTTTTAGTACCAATATTTGTGTGTAATTACTTGTATAATATTATACGATTTTTTCAAGACGTTGCCAACAGTATATTTCGAGACGG